ACCCAAGTTAAAATTTCTAGTACCCATGTATTATTCACTGGGCTGCTGGCAAATGTCTATAACGTCAGAAAGGGAGGAAGTATGTGGTAGAAAAGGTGGTCCCCAGGGCCTTGCTTCCCGGGCAGTCTAGCTGAAATGACAAGCTCTAGGTTCAGTAATAGATCCTGTCTTGAAAAATAAGGTGGAAAGTGACAGAGGATGACACCCATTGTACACATACACACACACACACACACACACACACACACACACACTAGAAAAGGAAGCCTTGCACTGGTGAAGATCAGTAGGTACAGTTTCTCTGTATGTTTTCAACGTGTTTGGGAATGAGAACATGCATGAAAGAGACCTGCAAATTAGAAGAAATTTAGTGCCAATGGATTTAATTGAGTTTCTGGAAAAACAAATATTTACCTAGAATATGTATCCAAAGGAGGTCAGAGTAGGATTGTGCATGAACTTTTGATAACTATCATTGAAAAGGCCATCTCAGTTCTCTGAGTTCAGGCAGTACAAGGGAGGACTTTCTACTGGCTGCATCCCTGACCCCTCCTCCTTTCTCAGCACATAAACACTGCAGACTGGTCTCATTGGATCTCAGCTGGGCACAGCAGGGGAGCCCTACAAGACTCTCAGCTGGGAGGGAAACTTGGAGCCAGAACTGCTGAAGGAAAGCTGAGATGGAGCTGATCCCCAGCCTTTCCATGGAAACCTGGGTGCTGCTGGCTTCCAGCCTGGTGCTCATCTACATGTGAGTAGCTGTCCAAGATTCTCCCTATCTGTAACTGGAGTTGGGGTGATACACAGGACCCTTCCCTTTCCTGTTAGTACATCCGAAGAGAACATGGAGGAGAAGTTGAAATCGAGACTTTGGTGGTGCAGTTCCTACTGACATTATTGCCATTGACATTATACACTTCTGACTCCCTCCAACTCTTACCTTATGGCTCAGAGGGTTTTGACAAGACTTGCTCCTGGGAAGATGGATTTGGCTCTCAGTCTGTACTCAGACGAACCAACATCAATCCAGAGAACTCATAAACATTTCGCCACTACAGCCCTTCTGAGTTTGGGGAGTCCCAAGATCATGGAGGTGCTTAAACTTCTCACTGTCCTTGCCTCCTTGCTTTCCTTAGCATGCACCGATGACGTGTGTAAGGCTTCTCCCCTGGGCATACACATGTCTATTGCTCTCTCTCTCATCCCCTAACATGCTTTCTACAAATTCCCATCATGCATCCTAGACATTGTAGGAGGGTCGGCATCTACTCTTCCCTCTTTTCTGTAACCCTCACCTGACGCACCCTTCCTCTGGATAACTCAAGTTGTTTTTTGTCTTTCAGTATCCAGAACCATTTCCCACTCAGTGCTGTGTTTTTAGAGCAGAGGACAGCTAGCACTGATCCTGAGGGAGGGTCTCCATTGCTGGTTGGATCATGATAAAATGTTCTTGGCTTTTTCTTTTACTTTATAGATATGGGACCTATTCTAATGGGATTTTTAAGAAGCTCGGCATTCCTGGACCCAAACCTCTGCCTTTTTTGGGAACCATTTTGGGCTACCGAAATGTGAGTACTGTTTGAGCTCTTTCTTTTCTTCTTGTGGATGCGACTTCTTGTGTATCTGTTTATGGATCAGTTCCATAGATGCAAAGGCCAGTCCTAGGGAGAAAGTTCTGGGGTGTGAGACCACTGGAAACTGTGTGTGTCCAATCAGGAGAGTGCTCGGGCTTCCCTTTAGGATTTGCTGACATATTTGTAGCTGTGGTTAGAAAGCTGTGACTGCAGACATATCAGAGCCTGGTGTTCAGCACTTCACGCTCAGACTGTGTACAGGAGCAGGAGAAGTCTGGGGTTTTCCTTAGTGGAGCCTCCAGGAAGGCACAGGTGTCCGTAACTCACGGGAAAGCATGCCTGGTCACAGTAGCACCGCAGCAGCCTGTGTGCACTAGACCAGACTTCACACTGGGCTCAGGAGCAGCACTTGTTCTCTTCCTGCTGGCCAGCTCTGCAGCATCCC